GTTAAGTAATTATCTGACATGATATAAGATTATATTAATCTCTAAATCTGTAGTAATATAGTCAAAATTATAGAATTACACACTATAGCATAGAAATTAGACATAAAAATTAGCTTATATTATAATTTTATTTATCCAGAAAACTCTCTTTCTTATAATCTTTCTGAAAAATATATTAATTCAGAATTTTTATAACTTAAATTAATTATATTATATTATCCTTTAATTTATTATATTTATCTTGTATCATACTAATTTATAGAATTTTATCTATTATAAATATCCTTTTATTTTATTTAATTAGTAGAATTTATCTTTATTATTTATTTAAACTCTTTGTTAAAATGCTATTAATATGCAAATCAAGAGCAAAAATTATCTTGAAAGATATTGTTCTAAAAATAGCTATCACAATACTATTTAATAGAAATATTAATTATAATATACTTTGATTAGATCAAGAAATAGTAGAAGCTATTATTGTTATAGACTTAACTAGAGAAAAACTATTTCTATATAACAAACTTTCACAAGTGATGACTGAAAGTTTAATCTCTTGGCATTGGAAAATTACTAATAGAACTAGCAAGTTATTTCAATATATTTCAGAATAAGTAATTCTGAACTTAAGAAAGTTATTATCAATCAAGTTAGAAAAAATGACTAATGATGACTTTAAAGAATTGCTAAGTCTTGTAGAAATTTGACATTTAATTTTAATATATCTTTTTTCTTATATATAAAAAGAACTGGTACTTTAAATAATAAAATACTAAAGTGAATAAAATTTTTCTGTATCAAATCAGTTAATTATTTCTTGAGCTTATCTATCTTTATGAAAGAAAGTCTATAGATGGATTTGGATAGTGATTCAAATTCTGAAATGAGATTAATTTTATAATTAATTATTTTTTTAGGTGATAACTAATTTGGTAAGATTTCTAAAAATATATTCTTATATCTTCTCTTGATATCTAATACTTTTTTACGTAACTTATAACTTTTTTTACAAGTCTTTTTTTGATGAAAGTAAGCCAGAAAAATATCTCAAATGCTTATCAACTTTATTCTACAAGTATTCAATAGGATTTAAGTCAGAAGACTATGATGATCAGTCAAGTAAGTTGATCTTATTATTAATAAACTATTGCTTCACTTTTTTGAAGATATATTTAAGATCATTATCTTGCTAGAAGATAAAATTCATATTCTTTAGCATTATTTCTCAGACTATATCTAATAAATTAGTATTTAAAATATTAATATAGATATTAGCTATCATTTTTCTATTAATTTTTTTGAGTTCACTAACTCTATTAGTAGTAAAGTAACTCTAAATCATAATTGAATTATCATCAAATTTTGTTGTTGATGTGATATAATAATCTTTTAAAGATTTGTCAGGCTTTTTCTAATAGTACTTCTTTTCATCTAATCCAAATAGTTAGAACTTGCTTTCATCAAATCAAATTATTTACTTCTAATTATTAGATGTCTAATTTCTATATTTCTTTATCTAATTTAATCTTTTTCTTCAATAAGTTTTATTAAGTAAAGGCTTTTTTTACCTTATTCTTGTGGACAAGTTATTTTTTTAAAGTATTCTCTATATACTTTTTATTAATAAATTAATATTTAGTTTATTTTTGAGTTTGCATTGAATCTGAATAGTGATGAAGTATTTTTCAGATTATATTAGTTATACTATATTTTACTTATAATATAGTAAAAGAATTAGTATATAGATAGATCTTGAATCATTATTGAAGCTTTCAGTTTCATCTTTCTTCTTGCATATTCAATGAACTAAAATCACATTCACCTGCTCTGATATGATAATTTCTCAAAATGAATATTCTTCTTGTTAAAAAATATAAATACAAATACATTTTTCATGAGAAATTCAAGATATTGAAAATTAAAATTTTATTTTGACTATTATTAGAAATATTATTTAGTTTTTTATCTACTATCAAAATAAAAAAATTACTTTTATACTTATCTTTATGAGCCTAAATTTCTTCTTTTAATTAATTATATTACGTAGAATATTAAAAAAAAATAAAAAAATTATTATGTAAAATAAAAATGATGGATGAAAATAAAATTTGCATTAACTTCATATAATTCTTCAATAATAAGATATTTATATCTCAACAATTTTTTTCTCATGTTCCATTTCTTTTATAAGTTATTATATTTTTATATATAGTCAAGTCTTCTTAATGTATCATTTTAATCTTTAAATTTATTGGTTGATATATAAGTTTAATTTGACTTTATGTTAAAATTTCCTTAAATACTCACATTAGAATGACTAATTTAGATAATAAGTCATTGAGAAATAATCACTTTATTAAGTAAATTTTCTTTAGCATATCACTTGATATCTAAACTTAGTCCAAAAGATTATCTCATTAATAATAATTATAATAATAGTAAGTTATCAAAGATTTTAACTATATAAGAGAGTATTTCTATTTAATCTTTACAAAATTCAAATATCATCTGATTAAATTGATTATTAAAATAATATTATATTACTTCTGATACTGTTATTAGTTTTTTTTGAATTAAATTTTCATATTCTTAGTATAGCTAGCTCTGCAAATCAAATTAATCTGAATAAATAAAGAAAATAAAGAAGAAATTTATTGCTCAAGAATAAAATCAATATCATTAAAAGAAAAAAAGTTAATACCAAGTTGAGCAATGAAAAATTAGCTAATAAATTTGATATAAACTATTTTACTATTAGTAGTATTCTTCAAAAAAAGAAATAGTTTTTACAATTGCATGTAAATGCAAATTATTCAGATCTAAGAAAAACTTATATCCAAGAAGCATGATTTTTCTCTTTGGAAGAAGTACTTTATAAGTAATTTTAAAACTTATATAGTCAGAATATTTCTATATCTCAGAATGTATTAAGAATAAAAGTAGTCAAGTTTTATAATAAGATTAAAGAAAGTGATATATAATTGTTTAATTTTGAAGTGTCAAAGAGATGATTAGAAAAATTTCAAAAATGATATAATATTAGTAGTAAAATTATTATGGATGAAAGTGAATTAGTAATTCTTGAGCATGTTAAAAGTGGAAAAAAAAAGTTACAAGAGTTAATAGTTCTATTTAATATAGAAAATATTTACAATATAGACAAAATATATTTATTTTTTTACTTAGATTCTAATAAAATACTTATAACAAAAAATGATAAAGCAAAAGATATCAAGAAAAATAAAGAATAAGTTACTATCTTACTTTATTACAATACCACAGAATCAAAAAAATTTAAATTACTTGTTATCAGAAAATATTAAAATTCTCATTACTTTAAAAAATTAATATGCAGATACTATCAGTTTAATATACTAGTAATTTAAAGATGTGAATAATAATAAAAAAGTAAAATAAATAGTTAAGATTATTAAATAATTAATTAGTCGAGAGATCACTTTTACTAATTGATAATTATCCTGCTCATACAGATAGTTCTTCTATCAGTCTTAAAAATTTATAAGTAGAATTCCTTTTACCAAATATAATATCTCACATTTAATCATGTGATATCAGAATTATTCAGAATTTTAAAGTAAATTATCAAGCAATTTTGATATTCAAATAGATTAAAAACTTAGATAATAGAGAAGTAATAAGAAATATAAATATTAAAGAAGCAGTTAAAATGATTGCAGATATCTAGAAAAATATCAGATCAACTATAATAAAAAACTGCTGGCAACTAACAAAAATCTTATCTGAAATATACTTCATTATAAATAAAATAGAGATTGATAAAATTAATAAAAACATAGCTAATTTGATTTTAGCTCTTAATTATTTATAAATTGCAGATTCCTCAGTGAGTATGACAGTAGAAGAATATGCTCAGTTGGATAATGATTTAATAAGCTCAGAATTATCAATAGAAGAAGAAATTTTGAAAGAATTTCTAATGGCTGAAGATATATCACAGCAGAAATAAATACATATAAAAGATTCAAGTGAAGAGGAGGAAAAGACTATTTCTATAAATATAGGAAGAGAAGTACTTGAAATTGCTAAAAAATTTTTAGAGTAAAGAGAATTTATGATTAAAGAGAATATAAAATATATACATAATATAATTAGACATTTAGATAAGTCAATAAAAAAGTCAAAATATCAAATTCTGTTAATAAAATATATTAATCAATAAAATTGCTTATATTACTTAACTCAATTATATCTTCACTTCAGATATATCCCCAAAAAGTCTCTACTCCAAGATGGGAATATAAATAAGGAATGACTATACATGTAATATGTGTATAATATACATGTGATATACATATAATATGTATGTAATATATATATGATATATGTATGATATGTATATGATATACATATGATATATATATATATATATATATATGTATATGCATGTACTATATGTATGTATATATATGTATATGTGTATATGAGTTATTTTATAGTATTTCTTACAGCTTAAACACAGCTCAAAATATAAGATTTGCATTTCTTACATGAATATATTTGTTTTTTTTTGTATTTCTTATGCGAATATATTTTTAAGCTTGTATTATTGATATAATTATTTCTTAACTAACATTTCATCCTCTATCCATCTTTATTCTTATTATTTTTATTTCTTCACCAACCATTCAAAAAAACAAAAACAAAAAAATTACCTTGCAATAATGACGAAATATATTGTATAATTTTATAGGTAAATTCAGATTGACAAGATCTGGATTTACATAATTCGAATTGACATATAATCCACTATCCTGCTTTAGCGTTCCCCTAAATAAGGCAATACAGATCATAAAAATGAATCTAATCAAAATGGATTGGAAAGCACTCCACTTTCATAAATCACAGAGGTAATAATCGGACAATCTGATTTGATGTTTGCAATTGTTCCACAACGTGGTACGCGCAGCAAGATATAAACGCGCACACGTTCTTTTGTTTCCTTCACATAACTTGACAACATGGACCAAAACCCAACCTGGGAATTTACGTGCAAATACTTGGGAGATTATCCTGGAGCTTCCCCGGAACAGATCAAAAAAGCATACCAGGAATACCTTAAGACACAAGGTAAGTAAGCAATGAATACACGTTTATTGGGAGGATAGTTGAAATGCATTACGACATGCATTGGGTTGGGATGTAGAGCAGAGTCGTAGCATAGCTAGGTTCTACATAAACTCGTTTGAAAGGCAAATAAGTAAGATATGATACGTTTGGGTTAAGTAGAGTAGGCGCAATGGAGGGAGAATTGTTCGAATGCTGTTACAGCATGTCACTTAGATATAGATAATTCTTTTATGAATTCTTCTAGGAGAGGAATTAATTTCGAAACCTACGCATGAACTGCCGGAGAAAATTAAAGGTTTGTTCTTGTGTTTTGGCTTTCTTAAAACTAATAGGATACTAAGTATCGTTTCCTTAGTCTGGGATAATGCATTCAAAATTGAGTTTCAAGAGCCCGTCAACTTCCTAACTGGGTTAACTGACCGCTTAAAAGAAGTCGCCAGTGACAGTGCATCTTACAATTACTTGGTCGTTGTCCAGTCGTCTGGATATGGGAAGACGAGATCTATTTGTGAGCTTGGGTCTAAAGGGATTTCTCTCATATACGTGTGTTTCCGTAGTAAAAGTTCAACCGGTTACCCACCGGCAACTCCGATGAGTGATGTAATATTGAATGAATTAATGACTGCAGAAAATATAGATACTGCCCATGCAATAGCAGGACAGTGGATCCGAGCTATGATCAAGACATACTATGACAACGATCTATTCTCGAAACCTGCAGACTTACTAAATAACAAGGTTAGATAATTTGCTCAATT